GGCTATATTAATAGCTTTTTGCGCATGGGTGGTGTTTTATCATTTTCTACTACTGACACTTTAAAAAAAACAATGTAGAGACAACATACTTGATTTCTTCCCTCACCTACAATAAATTGAACATTTAAATGTAAATATTCAATCACTCAGTCTGTAGGAAGTTAATGGGTGTAGGGCATACTGAATACACAGAATTCTGCAAACAATACTGTATTTACCTGGAAGGAACAAGACTTCTTTCTGAATTCTAAATGCACCCTCCTCCATGAAGAGTACATGGGAAAAAATTAGAAACTTAACAATTCTGTGCAATATCAGCTCCACCAGCTTTTCAATGTAGTACTGCCAATTCTGTCTAAAAGCAACTCTGGCGAACACTCTTGCACCAATGTGAATGTGTCTGTCTATGTGTCATTCACATATGCATATACATGTATGAGTATACTGTATCTGCCAGAAGCTACACTGTAATAATAGGTAAGGCCAGAACCAACAAATATATTGTCTTTAAAATTAATTGTTGCATTTATAAAATTAATACTGTCATAATCAGAAACTCACAAGTATACACCACATTCCCCTTCCTGATTCCAGCAGAAATTGTAAAGACAAAGGGATAAGGGACAATATGGAGAGGGAGGGAAAATTGCATTGGGAAGGGGAAAGGAAGGGAAGGGAAGGAAAAAGGAAACAGAACAAAACTAAATGGAGAGAAAGTGAGGGGAAGAGCTGAAGTATAAACATGGTTTCTCTCATTTCTTTCCAGTTTAATTACTTCTTCCCAGTTACTTCTTTATTTTCAATAGCATCCTCTATTACCAGTTAATGGCAGATAATTCCCTCCTAATTATTTGGTAAGTAAAAAGGGAAGAGAAACTCATGTTCCTATTTATTTATACTTATTATCACTTTAAGAACTACTGTGAGCTTAAACAATCTATTTTACTTGGTCACGTCAATTGAAATCACCATGTGTTCATTTTTATAGGTTACTGCATAACATAAAACATAATAATCCACATTGAAATGCAGACAATAACAGAATGATAAAAGATTTGATGTTTTGTAAACTTTCAATCCTTTACACAGATAGCAACTGTACATTGGCTTACTTCATCAGAATCTTAAAATACTCATAAATCCATTCATAAATGCTGACCTCACACTGGCCATGAAATGGGAGATCTGCCTTCTTGAAACTTCCATTATTTGTAAACCAGTAATACTTCCAAATGAAACTTTTAAAGATATTTTTGCAAATTGGATTAATCTTGCAACAAGAGACAGCAATTGTTTTTACAATTTATCTTTTATCACTGTCCAATCATTAACATCAGGGAATGAAACAAGCAGACTCCATAAATTAGTTATTAAAACTATCTACTAAAATGTAGGTTTGCTTATTTATCTGTTAATTTAATAACTTTTCTCTTGTCCTTCTGAGGTAAACCAGATAGGAATCACAACCAGGTGAGCAAATTCTACTTTATTGTAAAGCTACACTGTAAGAATCTTATAAGTCTGAAAATACAATTCTTCCTTCTTCCCTCAGTCTCCTTTATAGCCCAAGAACCTAAGGAGGGTCTCTTCTGAGCCTCTTCTCCCATCCACATAGTTGAAGGCTATGCTGTCTCTTATCTGATTGTTCTCTTGGTAGCATATCTTTGCCCAGTCTCCCAAGTCTTTCCCACATAATGTTACACATCTTAATGTGAAAACGATCATATGTAGTATCCCTGCCTCTACTTGTTCCCTACAATAAAACGACAGATTGAGCTGAATAAGTGACTAACCAAACTTATCCACTAAATTTCCAAGCTGAAGGATTCTTGAACCTTAATCATCCAGATTTCTTATTTTGGTATGTTTGACATAGATTTTTAAGAAGAAACTATGCAACAGCAAACTTGCCTACTAGTCTTGTAATATTTATTTTGCTAGTGATTATAAAATTGTACATTGTTAAATAGTATTTGCATTTCGTTCTCAGCCAGTTGTGATAGACAAGGTTTACAAATATTGATGTAGGTGGTATATATTTGTATGTATTTTATTGGCATTTTTATTCAGCCAATTATGAAGTTTATTCTGCGGAATTACACATGATTTGTTGGAATGTGATGATCCATTCTGGCAACATACTACTTAAAATATTATTTGACATATTCATGTACTGATTATTGGATTAAAATGTTCTACAGCAGCCTGGAAGTGAAGAATAAACTTGAAAATTCAGCGGGAAGTCTGACTACAGTATAATGTTGGGGGAACCATAACAAATCATTCTAAATGTTTCAAGCCGACATTCTATGAGCTTCTAAAGCTCATGCTTTTCAGATCACAATCCACAACACTAGCAGTTATTTTAATTAAACTAAACATCTGAAATTGTAACATCCTCTGAAATTCCAAAGTTTCTATCTATAGTGTGATAAAAAGATATATATATTAAAAATCAATAGTTCATTTTACTGTTGGAATTTAATTCCAAATATATGTCTGCATTATAAGGCTGCAATTCTTACAACAGAAACACATCTGAAATGATAGCTTATATGCTTTAGATCAGATTGGTAAATGCAATATTAACAAAACTCATTTTTCAAGTTTTAGGCACACTGAAAATTTGCCCACAGCACACAGGAATACTAATAAAAACCCAGCATTTTAATTCACAAATTATTTGATAGCCAGTGATAAACAGCACTATTGCAAAGATAAAAATTCACATTTTATCAGCATTTAAGGAATATAGTTATGGCAAATTTCACTGGGTTTAAGCTGAGATACAAGTCTTAAAAGGCTTAGAATGCTTACCTCACAGAAAATATTGCTTTATCCTTTTTTGTCAATACACTAAAATTTTGAACTAATCATTATTTGTCCCAGAATACAGCACTATATGCTTGGATAGACTGAATTTATGGAGCTTTGTGAACCATATGCAGAACTGGTGGTTACTAGTTGCTCATTGCAATTGACAATAACTCTTAACTCCCAGTTATTTTGTCATGAAGAAGCAGCAAATTAGTTACAGGATAAACCACTTGGCAAGAAGGTCTGAGAGGTTGCAGATTCTGCTTCCGCTTAGAGCCCAACCTAACCATAACCCAACCAGAGAAGTAATAGCAGCTTTAGACAGCTTCTTCCTTATCCTGTACCCGATAAAATTCGTGGTTTGAAATGTCAGTGAGCCCAATAAAATCCAGCCCTATGTTTATATGTGTTACATTATGTTTTCTTTTAAGTTTTTCTCAAACCGTATCATTAAAATATAATTTTTCAAAATTTTCAAAAATATTATATAAACTGGCTATTCAGGCAAGTACACGCATGAAAATCTTATTCAAGATATTCTGCCTATGCATAAAAATCCTCAGTTGGATTATTTCACTTGTACGGAATCGTATGTAAACAGCAATAGTCAGCAAAGTTTCTTCAACATGTGTCCATAAATTTCTAACCACAGTGATTCTAAAAGGATGACTTGTTGCATAGAACAGCGTTTCCCAATTTTTGTGTCTTGGCAGACCAGCGGCGGCAGCAGTGGTATGAGAGGGGATCATCTTGTGTGCCTGTGCACTGCTTCACAAATGCAACTTACACACTTGCCCACCTCTTCCGCAACCGAAGGGTTGCAGCCAAGCACAGGGCCAGTGGGCCGCAGGTTGGGGACCTGTGGCATAGAAGTACGTAAGAAAAATAGCTTGTATCATGCCTGTGCCAGGCAGACCGAATGGCCTGTTCAGTTGCATTTATTTGGGTAATGAGTTCTGAGAGCTTCAGACAAAGCCTGATTACTTTTAAAATTTCAGTTAATGACTAAAGCATAGAGGAAAGAGAGAGGAGCTATCTGAATATTAAGCTAGCAAAAATTACATAAAATATTCTTTGTAAAACTGGAGCTTTAAAATTATTCCTCATATGCTCAGATTTTATTCTAGGAGATTCACAGCTAAGACAGACAGGCAGATATTCCTACCCTCCTTTATTATGGGAAGCAGTAACTCATAATAAAGAAAGGTGTTCAAATATTCCTTGTCTAATTTTTAAATATTTATTGGAAAAACATATTTTGAGGAACCTGAAGTTCATGGCACACTTGTCCTGCAAATATTCTGTCTATATTTAATTAAATTTGTCCAACACAACTATCCAGGAAGACTTTAATGCAATATTTTATAATGCATTCATCTTTTCTCATTATTGACAGTTTATAGCACTGGCTCTGCCTGATGGAAAATAGATTTCTAAAACATTAAAATATAAATTTGAATTCTCAAGATATGTATCCTGATAGATTCAACTTACTACTATTATATGGGAAAAATAAATGACGACATGTTGTCTTAACACAATCATTAGGCAAAAAAACCCTTTTGTACAACATCTATTTTATGAGAGTATCAATTTTCTTTAACAAGGCTTTCTCATGTTCATAACATCACATTAGTACATATTTCTAAGTATAAAGACTCAAATATGCATTACCTTAATAAATCCAGCAATCCTTCCCTAATCCAATAATTTACCAGACCAACATAGGGATTAACAGCATACTAACATTAGAACAGATGTGACTGACATTTTTAGCTTATTTTTGTTACTGGGATGGCAGTATGCCTGGGAACAGAAATAGTTCACTTTTTGGAGTCCTTAAGCTACATATGCACACACACACACACACACACACAGAGAGAGAGAGAGAGAGAGAGAGAGAGAGAGAGAGAGAGACATTCACAAAAACAAAACCACAAAGCTTAATTTTATTCATTTTGGCATGATTCTGGGTCATTTTTAGAAATATATGAGGAAGGATAGAGAGAGATGTGCATTTTCTAGAAAGAAATAAAACTTTTTTTTTCTATGCACATTTGTCTCAATTTCCCTAATATGCATTACCGTAGCATTTGGGGTACACTATTTGATCTAAAAAATATTGCATTTAGTCTATTTTATGAATTTTCAACCTTTACATAGAAATAAACTAAAAGCATCAATACGTAGAGAAAAAAATTTATTGGAATGTTAGAAACAAACATTGAGCAGTAAAGTAGAACAATAGAGATGACACTTCATATGATGGGCAAATTAGGTCATAATGTTCCTTCCAGAAATGGTTTCCAGTCACATCAGGAGGCTCGCTGCCTGCAAATATAGTTCTAGCCATTGTCTTGTCTATTTTTCCTTGATCTTCTTTTAACATTTTTTCAATAAAGATCAATTGACCATCTTGACATGAACTTAAAATGGATAGTACATCTGGTGATTAATCTTTGAAGTTCAAGATTTCTGAAATTATTACTTGCGTTACCAAGTTCCTGCAATAAAGCAAAGGGATTAATATTTTTATCTGTTTCTTCCCTCCATTAGAATTATTTGAAGAAAAAAATAGCTGCAGTAAGCAAGCTTTGTTTCTATGTTTTACATCAAGAAAACACTGTACATCACAATCTACACCAGATAACTCATCTAGAGTATGAGATTTTTATATAATCTCTTTGTTCAACTCTATGGTCAAATGTAACAAGGGAATCCATGCTATTGCCAGCCAGAAAAAAAACTTTGGATTAAGACTTAACTTTATATAATCTAATTAATTTCTCATTTGCTTTTTAAAATCATTTTGTAAGTCATAAGTGCTGGGACCACTGCTTAGTCAAATCAAATATTAATTAAAATAACGTAGCAAATATCAGTCAATATACTTACATAGGATTCTTGATGTAGGCTTCTTTCAGATGATTTTTCTTCGTCCCATTATTTTATTAGCTTTTCAGAAACAAAAATGATGTGTGTTCTTTTACAAAAGTTTCTGCATTATCTTAAATCCTTCTTCATCCTTGTAATATTATTAGAATATTCTTCTGGGCAATCTTCTTCTTACCTGAAATAGTTTCTTCATAACAATGCCATACATTTATTGTTGTGTGAGATTCAGGCCTGAGGTGGGGATTACCAGCACATGTCCCTTTCAAGGATACCCATTACCCAGGGTAATAACTGAGTTGCCAAGATCAAGAGAGGACACATGTGAAGCGGCCTTTGGCCTGCAGGAAGTTCATACTTTGTCCACATGGATGCTAAAGAAGAACAAGAGTTACTTGTCTCTTGATTTTTCTGTAGCTTCTCTAGCTGATTACTTCTAAGCCATTCCAGTCATTGGAACCAGAAATCCCTGCTGCTGTTGCTTTTTGATTTATTTTAGAATGAACACCTGTGAGGCAAGTATCGTACAATTGTGAAGCTGCTAAATTTACCTGAAAAACTTTGACCTGGAAAACTTACATCTCTGATTAAGAATGAGATTATTTACCATCAAAAGGCCCCCATCCTTACAATTACAATTTAAAGGGAGGGCTAATCTAACATTTGTCCATTTGATGCAGAGGTGAAATGTAAAATTTGTTACTACTGGTTCTGTAAGCGTGGCTTGGTGGGGGGGTAATGTGACTGGGTGGGGGTGGCCAACTTTTTTTTTTTAACTTTTAAAAGCATTTATTCTATAGCCTCTTCGGCTGAAGAGGTTGCAGAAAAAAATGCTTTTAAAAGCCTCTGATGATCAGGCAACTCAGCTGGGATCGTCAGAGGCTTTTAAAAATGCTTTTGAAAGCCTCTGACCATCCTAGCTGAGTTGCCTGATCATCAGAAGCTTTTTTTTCTTTTAAAAGCATTTTTTCTACAGCCTCTTCGGCCAAAGAGGTTGCAGAAAAAAATGCTTTTAAAAGCCTCTGACAATCAGGCAACTCAGCTGGGATCGTCAGAGGCTTTTAAAAGCATTTTTTTCTACAGCTTCTTCGGCTGAAGAGGTTGCAGAAAAAATGCTTTTAAAAGCCTCTGATGATCCCAGCTGAGCCGCACGATCATCAGAGGCTTTTCTTTTACTTTTAAAAGCATTTTTTCGGCCGAAGAGGTTGTAGAAGAAATGCTTTCAAAAGTAAAAAAAAAAAGCCTCTGATGATCACGCAGCTCAGCTGGGCATGGGGGTGCACGCAGGGATTTTGCTACTGGTTCTCTGAACCACCTGCCGCCATCGCTACCAGATCGGGCAATCCAGTCCGAACCGGGAGCATTTCACCCCTAATTTGATGATTAGCAAACATCATCTGTGTAAAGTGTTGAGGTACCAGAAGACTATGCAGCTCAGATATTTCCACCATCCCTATAATAGAATGCACATGGTTCCCCTGATCATGTTTTCAAGTTTTCAAATTTCTAGTTTTATATATTCAATTTTCTTTGAGAGAATGGAGGCTCTGTACACAGACTAGTGCTATGCACTTCATTTAAACCCATTACTTAAAGTTTTGAAGTGTTGTGGTGGTATATGGAAATGACCTTGGGAGACAGGAGGAAAACCCATAGCCTAGGCAACAGTCTGATTAGAGACAGCTCAGTCGATAATTGAAGGAAAATCAGGGAAGCATTTCAAAAGGGGTCCTCTCTAGTTTTCCAGAGATTAAAAAGAGACAAAGGGAGAAATGCTTTCAGACTTGCAAGTTTTTGTTTGTTGTTACCTTACAATAAAGATAATGCTGATAGTCCAGGTAGTGCTTCTTCTTTGGACTACCTCAAAGGAATAACAAGTTCCATATATTATAAAGGACTCAGTGCAATGGTTTTAAGGCCTTTTCTCTGTTGTCTGACCCTCTAGGTCAGAGAGAGTCAAACTCAAGGCCCGCAGGTTGGATCCAGTCTGTGGGGTGCTTAGATCTGGCCTGCGGGGCCACCCTGGAAACAGCGAAGGGCCAGCCCATTGTGCCTCTGTCAGCAAAATCTGAGCTTTGGAAGGCGACACACAGCCCTCTCCAGCTCCATTTTCACTGGCAGAACGCTTGGGCCACCAAGGTGCACCCAACTCAAGTGACATTGAGCTGGCCATGCTCCCCAAGCCCCTCGAGATCAAACACAACCCTGATGTGGCCCTCAATGAAATTGAGTTTGACATCCCTACTCTAGGTGCACAGGACTGTAATTGCAGATGTGTACACATTTTGCTGCATGATTCATGACAAAATACCTCAGTCTGCTATGGAATCTGCTGTCCCAATATATAGCAATGTCTGCATTTGCTTCAAGGGAGATTAATGGTGCATATGGCTCACTAGATGTTGATTGAATGTTATTTCTAATATCAGAAGCAGTATGCTTTATACAACATTAGTTATTGGGAAAATATTATGTTCACTTTGTACTTTGAACTTTCATGAGCATCTAGATGGTCATTTGAAAATATAGGTGTTTAAACTCCCTAACTTTTTATTAGCCTCTTGCTTTCATGGGATAGTTGCAATATATTACTTTTTTAAAAAGCACTTAGTTGTAACATCACAATGATATGAATCATTTATATTAAATTTTAAATAGTGGTTGTTATGTAATTTACTCATCGGTACCAGAACTGTTCTACAGCAACCTTCTTCATAACTGAAATTATACAGGAAATGTCATGGTTTGTTAGCTATTACATAGAAAAAAAATTATAGACCAACCACATCAAAGGCTGTGAACACATGACAGTAATGGTGATTTGTCTTCAAGTCTTTTGTAATATAAGCAAATGTTGAGAGGTCTTCGGGGTCTTGTGCGGCACAGGAAATGTTACGAATCTCATGTTCAGCAATAATATTCTAAATGTAAAGAAAAGAAATAATTGTATATATTTAATGATCCAATCTGGTTCCCAATATTTTATAATACTTAGGTTTTACATTGTTGCTAATACAAATAAAATGATAAGCAAGCGATGTAGCTGTATTTAAATTCAGCAATAAGCAAAATGTGTTGTTTCCTTTGGTGTTCTGTGATTCTAAACATTTAATTTTATAGCTGAATTCATTAAATCATTATTCCTCTCTCAACTGATATTGAAAGTTAAAATATCTTTAAAAATAGTAAGATATTGTAGAAATATCTATTAAAAAAGATTTTATTTGCATATTAGTTACTGAACATGAAGTTTTAACCTGTTCTAATGATACTGACAATAGAAAGGATGTGGTAGATAATTACTGATTACTGATGGTATAAGAAAAAACAGCATTATATTACAGATGTTACTAGTTGTTAATATGCAAATAGAATTCATGTACCAATTTAGTGATTAATATTTAATTCCTCTATTAGATAAAAGTCAAAATGTATTAGTTCATAAATATATTCTGTTATCAGAATAAATGATACAAAATCTTTCTTTAGACTTTCTTTTTTAAATTTAGGAATCAGTAAATGGAATATATAAAATGCTATAGAAGTTAATTTATGGTGCCAGACATACATATTTAACAGGAGTGTGAAGACAATTTACTGAACCATATAAACTTAGTGATACTATCCAGATTACTGTAACATAAATAGTTATTTATTTTATTACTTTATTCATGAAATTTATATACCACCTCAATCCAATAGGACTCTTGATGGTTTGCAACATGCATTAGAAAATATAAACCAATATAAATAAAACTGAATCTGGCATCAAAGGATCTGCATAACCACTCCAGTTTTATTAATATTAATATTAATATATATATATATATATATATATATATATATATATATATATATACCTTTATTATATCCATTTTATGAGTATTTTTCATAAAAATATGCACTTATTTCATTAAAGCTAAGTAACTATTATTCTACATATATTTTGCCTACAAAAAAATCACAATCACATTAATAAGCTTTAATTTTAAAATTCTTTAAACTAACATTTTAATTAAAATTACTTAATTCTATGCTATGTTGGCAAAACAGTATTTCAGGGTTTTTTTATTCCTTCTATTGCTACTTTCAAAACTGTTGGATTAAAACAGTATGGATTGCTATTATGTTTACACTGAATATAATATATTTCTGCAAATGAAACCATAATTTTTGCCTAAATTAGCAATACTGTTAAGAAAAAGTCTTCAATATTCTCAGAAGGGAATTAGAAGTATTTGTGCCAAAACCAGAAACTGGAATAGCTTAATAAGCTTTGTCATGTTTAATGTACATTTCCAACTTAGTTCTATTTCACTGAAAGATCTGTTAAAATTTGAATTCTTTAGTTCAAATCCCCTCTCTTCCCCCTAAAAGCATGGAACTCATAAATCTAGTTTTGATTTAATATAAGTAAAAATAACTAAACTATGATTTAGAACTGTAAATGTAGTCCTTTTTTTTCTTTTCCTTTTGTTTTTACTGTTATATGCTACCTAGCGCTCTTTAGAACCAAAGCAAGTTAAGAGGCAATTTCCCAATTTGCTTTGATTCTCAGGAACTTGGGGAAATTGACTCAAGTTTTTATGCTCAAAACAGAAAAAAAAATAGACTTAAATTTGAAGATTGAATAATTGTGTAGTATAGAAATGGTTTGTAATAACAAAACATGGAGGCCATAAATATAGTAAGCATTTTATTGTACTGGGAAAAGTCAGGAGTCTCTTTTTTCTCTTTTTTTCTTTTCTTTTTATTCTGCCTCTCCCTTTTCTCCTGTTGTTTAATCTTTATTTTCATTTTCATGTACTTTATATTATATTATAAGAAACTTCAATAAAGAGAACCAAAGCTAGTTAAATAAATGAATAAAATATGCAGTCTACTTTTACTAAAAAGCAGAGAAAATCATTGTCCTTTCATTAACGCCCCATAGTTAATCATCTTTGTGTCTAATGTTGCAACAGAGCAATACACGTGCTTAGTTTCAAATGGAATTTATGGTGCTGGCCTACACCTATGTATGAGCTATATGGATTCTTAGGGACTGCCATTCCCCAATAGTTTCTGCTATTCTGGAGGGCCTTTGGAGTGCAATGGCTAGTTTTTAATGCCAGTTTGATCATAAAAGAACATAAAGTGGAAAATGCAATCAAAGCCATGTTAAAAGAAAATATACAGTACACCAGTCTGCAATGAACTGTGGACCAAATGGCTGTGCACCTAGCCATTTATCCTTCCTTCTGTATATCTATTGGATTACTGCTATAATCATGCCACTCTTCCCTGTTTCTCAGGTGATTCCCAGAGGCATCATGAATTTTAAAAGAATAGATGATTTGCCTTCTTTGAAATTACAATGAGGACTCCTAAAAAAATCTTATTTTCCTCAAGGTAATATAAAATATTCAATTATGAAAGGAAAGAAATAATTAAAGAGCTGCAATAAGCTCCGTTTGTACTTAAGTTGGAAATGTATGTAAAAATTGTGATTATTTCAAGGAAACAGACATAGACACAAGCAGGTTCATGAAATTTCAATACCTTATGCATCTTATTTTGAAGCTGGCCCGGATAGTATGTATTAAAAAAGAAATAGTATTGGACAGTAAAATTATCACTTGGATGAGACAATATTCACTGATCAAATATACATAAAATGGACAAAGCCAAATGTTTATCTTAAGCCAAACTGCTGCAACATTAGTCAACTTGTGAATAGACCATTATCGTTTGAGGTTAAAACATGACAAAAATCATCAATATAGTTTGTTAACTAAATATGAATATCTTTGCTTATGTCTGATAGTTTAGACATTCTTATAACAATGAAAAGTTTAACCTGTGATTTTAATTAG